ATTTTTTAAAATATTTTTATTAGGTGTGTTTTGATGAAAAGAATACACTCCTAAAGTTTCAAGTTATTTGGATTTATAAAAAAAAAAATTAAAATTAAAATACAAAATGAAGTCGTAATCGTCAAATCGATCCAGATTCAATCTGGACCGTTGGGCTCATATGTTCATATGAGCTAGTGGGCTAATCTCAGTATTTTCATATATATATATATATATATATATCCAATCGAGTGACGTTAATAGAGTTTTTGGAATGTTAAAAAAATTATATAAAGGACATATTGGAAAACGAAAAAGAAAATAATAAAGATTTCATCACAGTTAGAAAACAATATTGCAGTTTGGAATTAAAGTGAGAAGTTAATTGGTATATCTGAAAATTAAATGTAGGGTACAAAATTGCAAAAACTGCCACTGAGTTTCCATAGATTCACATCTTCCAAAATTCCAAACAGTGGACATGCATATTCCATGTTTCTTATTGGGTGCTAGTAGCACCCCTCGCCTATCCTCAAGACAGGCTTCTCTAGGTACCCAAAAATCCCTTAAATACCGATTTAGTCCTGAACGAGTTGTATAGACTCACTTTATATAGAACTTTATAACATATTTGTACATCAATTTTGATACATCAATAAGATATTTGTATAGAACTTATAACATATTTGTACATCAATTTTGATACATCAATAAGATGTGAGTCAATAAAAAAAAAAATCAAAACATATCACACACACCCACGACATGGGCTTGTTAAAATCACCAAGTATTCTAGCAGCAGAGCAAGAGCAATGAGAAAGAATTGGTCATGGAAAACATCCCTCTATGCATAGGCCTGAACAAACGCACACAAGGAGGGAGGAGGGAGGGTAAGAGAAAGGCCTTTGTTTATTATTTTTTTTGTAGATTTTATTGAGAGAGAGAGGCCTCTGTTTCTTTTGTTTGTAAGTTTGATTGGACCCCAAACCCCAAGGTCGGTCCACAAGTGCCTTCCAACTCAGCTGTGGGCATGAGCCAAGAAAGAGAAAGTGTATGCAGTGCAAGCAACCAATTGCAACCACTTTCTATCCTCTTGACTAATGTCACCCCCATTCATTTTTCATGGTTATCCAGACACTTGCGAGTTGTTAAATGTGTTGAAATTTTGTCAGTGAATTGGGAGATCTTTCGTTATGGAGGGGGAATACCATTTTAGAGAGTACAATGAAAAGCAACAAAGAAATTTGCAGTGGATGTACTAGAGATTTCAGGACACAAGTGTCGTATCATTGTATCGAAAAAATTTGTCAATTTTCATAGGACACGGTTTCTATGAGTCCATGGAGAAATAAGTTCCCTCTTAAAAATCTATTTTTGAGATGGATTTTTTTACCTTATTTTTAAGGACATGATTTCTTTCATAGAGATCATGAATATGAAAAGATAAATAAATTTTAAAAACTGAAGTAACAATTTTATGAAAAAATTCGGACACTTAGTTTTAACTGTTTTTAGATGGACTCTATTTGCATCCATCTTTTGGTGCTTTATGCCTCAGGGAAATGCAAATGTATTCCCCAATGCATTAAACAATTTTCCATTTTCATGAAGAAAAGTCTTTGGTAAGTCGGCCGACTCAGCTATGCTTGTGGGGTTTCCCTCCTAAATATATCTCAAAAATGTATTTTCAATCCAAAATTTTAGGGTCCGATAATCTCAACCATGACACTAATCTAACTTTCTTTTTTGAGAAAATATAAATATACATTTTTTAATTCTTTTTTCCATAGTTCATTTTAACTTCTAGTTGATGTAACATTTTTTGACATCTATCTCAGAGATGGACGTTTAATAGAAAAGGGACTGCACAATAATAGGTAAGTCGGCTAACTCACCAAAACCATATACATCTAGTCATGGTCTTTTAGATTATTTTTTCCTCTCATAACAAAGTAATTTCCAAGAATCTCTCGTACTAGAATTTTAACAAACAATACTTTTATGGAAAAGCATACAATGAGATCATTTATATTTGGTACAACGTGATCATAATTAATCTTGACCATTAGATGTGAAATTAGATGGCTGCATTTATTCCATTGACCAAGCTCAAAGTTCAAAATTTTTTTTCTCGAACTTTGTAACACACCCAAGCTATCAGATTTCATATCGGATGGTTGTACATAATTGTGACTACCTTGAATTAAAAGTAAATGATCTTATTGTATACAATCCTTGCATCTCTCTTGTAAAATTCGCACCGAAGTATACTATCCCTACTTTTGTTGCATCTCTCAAGTAAAATCCGCATTGAAGTATGTCTTAACATTTGATAAAAAAAAATTTTGTCTTCATGCAATAAATCCCCAACCACTCGATTTCACATCTAATCGTAAATAATAATTGTAAACTCATTATAGCAAAAATAAATAGTTTTATTGTAGCTAGAGAATCCTAATCAAGAGGAACAAGGAGATTAGAGCCATTAATCTTTTTCATAGAGTCACGATAATAAGGTTCTCACGCATCTATATTGCGTAAAGCCGTAAACCCTAAATTTCTCTGATTTGATAAGATTAGCCTAAAAATCTTTCCTTTCCCCTTGCTAAGTTGAAAAATCTAGAGTCTTAATAAGCAAGGGTCCTGGCATATCTTTGTTTTTCCTGATGAACAAGTTTCCTCCATAATAAGGTTTATTGGCATATATGATGAAAGATGATTTTTCATTATTGGATTTTTAAAAAAAAATTATTTTGAATAAATAAATTTTTTTTATTTTGAATAAATAAGAAGTATATGTTTTTAGTTTTTATATTTTGATTATGAATTTGTATATGTTTCTTCTTTTTTTTTTGTTTATTTTTTTTTTTATGCTACTTTACCCTTTTAGAATTAGTGATCGAGAAAATAAGTTATAATTTTACTAAAGAGCGCATGTTGTACTCCTAAAATTACTATACTGCTAAGAGTCACGTAAAATCACAATAATCGTATTCAAAAGAAAAACCTTGAATTTTGACTTCTCCACACCTGGATCTCACATAAAATTGGTTAGTTTATATTAAATCTTGAGGTATTATTTTTTTCAAGCCCAGAGAGAATGGCTGTGGACTGATAAATGACTGCCCAATGGCATGTGCATTCCATTATGCTCCAATGAAAATTTGAAAGTGTTTAATTTAATTGGAGTTTTTTACTATTTTATTTAATTTTTTAAGTCAACCAATATTTTTTGATAGGTATTTTTTAATTCGTTCAACTGTCCTTCTTTACATGTATGGCCTAGTTAATTTCTCCTTTAATTTTATCTCATTTCTCATGCGCAAATTTATTTCCTAAATTCATGCTATTTTGTAACTTCTTTCTAACCTAAATAGAAATATTATTTAAAGGAAAAAACTTATATAAGGGTGAGGTCCTAAACAACAAATTAAAGTTGATCATCTCGACCTCAAGATGTATGAGCATGATAAACAAATAAATTTCAAGTCTTAGATAGTGCATCTTGTAATATATTATCTTGACCATCAATTTTCAAAATTTTCAAGTGTTTATAGATCTGCTCGATTTACACTATCTTTTTAATTTTTAATTTTATAATTAGAGATAAAAATAATTTAAGTTGTCATAAAGATTTATGATACTGAAACAACATATTTCAATACTATTTGAAGGTGCGCCCTACTTTGATTGTTTAACGCCTCGGCCTAATACAAATCACACCCTTATTCAATTCGTTAGGATTCAGTATTTACCTTACAGAGAACAAAAATCTGGTTGAAACAAAACCTTTTCATAAGGTAGGACTGGCAACGGGTTGGGTCTGGCCCAAAAAAGTAAGAGGCCACAAACACTGACTCAAGGGCTAGTGCCAGTCCAATTTGGCCCGGCCCGGCCCAGCCCAGCCCAGCGCAATTTTTCTGTTGTTTTTTCTTTTATTTTATCTTCACTTACTTTTGGCCCAAAGGGCCCGGACTTGGGCCGGTTCTCTAGGGACAAGGGGCCAGGCCAGGGTCCGTCCAAGCCAAGACCGTGCCACCATTATTATGAGGTTCAAAAGGCATACGCCTACGGGATTTGAATGCTGGACGTATGGTTAGAGGTCACAATGTACTCCCTAAAGGGCTGTACAAATGAAGGGACAAATAAGCAACAAATAGACACAATTCAAAATCAACACTCCCACGTTTCTATCAAAAGGTTAAACCAAATTTGTGAGTAGGAAATTGGAGAAAGGCACCACATATTCTTAATTCCTTCTTAACTACGAATTATAAAATAATGCAAATGAGATTTGTCCCTAACCACAAGAAAGAGAGAGAGATTTTGTTTGGAATCTTGGACATCGACTATGCCTACTCCCATATAAATTCGTCACATTCAACAAATACGGATCTACACATTTGGCAAAATGGCCAAAAACCATTACTTTTCTCATAGAATAAAATCCAATTATGGAAACTCTCATTGAAACTGATTAATTTAAGCTAAACCAAGTCAGCCTTGGAAAATCTTGTATTATAATTTCCACACGAAATTATGTCACAAAGATGCGCAATTACCTCTTTTAGAATAAAGAGTTTGGTGTATCTAATTTAAACTTGGCCAATGTTAGTTGTATCCTCACCTGACTTAGGCCACCACCTCCTAAAATCAATCTAAAATAAACAAGCTTCCTCATTAAATTAAACAATAAAAGGTAAAAAGTACTCATCAAAGAAAAACCTTAGGTTTTTGACCTTATGAAAGAAGCAAAAATTAGAGCAATGAACCCTTCCCTACTGATATATATATATATAGAGAGATATAAATGATTCACCGTGATACCTTTGATCTATTAATCAATCACAATCTCTCTCTCTCTCTCTGACAGCTACAATGGCTCATTCAAGTGCCTTGACACCATTCCTGGGGATGACATTCATTCTGATGAGTATGTTTTTTACATGCACTCATGTGGAGGCGGAGTATCTGAGCCTGGACTACTATTTGAAATCGTGCCCCAAGGCTATTTCGATAATCAGGTCTGAGATGGAGTGTGCAGTGCGGGAGGAGCCTCGAATGGCCGCCTCCATCCTTCGTCTCCATTTCCATGACTGCTTTGTGCAGGTTCTGTGCTTATTCTTTACACAACCATCTATATGCTAAGCTAATAAGCTCAAGTTTTATATTCTTCTCAGATTCGAACTTGAGATGTAGTACTCTGATAATCATCTAAATCAATCAAGCCAAAAGACCATCTTAATGAGAACTTAGTGTTGAAGGAGAGACTCGAGAAGATGGCACCGGTTTGAAAAACAATGGTAGAATGGGCGTGCAATTTAACGTAGAGATAATCACAGAGAGGTTTGGTGTGATTTTCTAGGATAGAATGGAGGAATATATACGGCAAAGGCCCACAAAGTTTTTTTTTTTTTTGTATCTAAGAAATTTACTAACAGTTTAGCCATCTCTCTTTCTGCACGAAAGAGGAGAGGATGATTTTTTGCATGCTGCTTTTGAAACTCATTGAAGTGATGGATGTTTTTTCATTCTTGGGTAGTAAAATGTGTTCTATTACTGTTTAAAACAATGTTTTCGGACTTGGCCGGGTCCACTTGAACTCGGTCAAGTAACTCGGCCTCGTAAAATATAAAATATAAATATATTATCTAGAATAATGTTTTTGCGTGATTTTGATAGTTTTTAAGATGATTTGAGAACTTTTATAAAAAAAATTTCAATTTTTTTTAATATCAGATTTTTGAATGATATGTCTTTTATAGCTTCTTAAGTCTTTTAATGATTTATAATACCTCTTTTAATTTTTCTATTTTTAGCTCCTTGTTTTTAATAAAATCTAATAAAATCTCTAACTTTTTTTTTATTCTTTTTGACTTCTTTACATTTTTTGGTGGTGCACATGCCTAGGCCAAGTGCAGTAGAACCAGGCTGACTTGCTAGCCTTTGCCAAGAGTCGAGTACACTGCCCGAGGTGATCTTAAAACATTGGTTCAACAAATAAGAAGGAACTATTTGAAATCGTGTTTTGAACAACGCAGTTTTTCAAGGAATATTTGGCACAAAAATCAAACAAACTAGTATTCGAATCATACAAAAACAAACAGTATCTTTGTGAGTGTCAACCTATTATTTCTTCGGGCTCGTAATTGGCCTTGCTTGGCCCAATGGGCCCCGGCCTTGAAAAATTGGGGCCTGGGCCACGAAATATGTCGTGACACCTAAGCCACTACAACTTGAGGTAAGAGTTGGCCAGTGTTTCCCCTTAGTTTTTCAAATTCTTTTCTTTTCTTTTTTATTTTTATTTTCTTTTGGGGTTAAGAATCTATCAAGCCAGGCCATGCTAGGGCCCAACCTAGATTGGCCACTATTACTTTTAAATTTAAGCTTAATGAAAATGTCACCATGTCCCTTTTATGGCAAACATTACAACAAAACTTTGTGTAATCTCATTGAAGTCTAATGGCCCTTCTTTATAGCAAAGAAATCATGTGATTTTTATTTATTTTTCAACAGGGATGTGATGGGTCGGTTTTACTCGACAACACCGTTACTCTCCATGGCGAAAAGAGTGCAGAACAGAATTTGAATTCTCTCAGAGGATTTGAGGTGGTTGACAAGATAAAAAATAAGCTTGAATCCGAGTGCCCCGGAATTGTATCTTGTGCTGATTTGCTAGCCATTGCAGCAAGAGATGCAGTAATTTTGGTAAACTTCATGCTAAGTTGGCTCCGTTAACCCTCTTTCAATAGATAAGTGAAGAGCTCACGTACCATGAACCATATGAACATGAGAAAACTATGACCAAAGTTTTTTATCATATCCAATCAATGGATGGACCATAGAGAGGGAGTGGACCTAGTACTTGGATCATTTCATGTACTAGTGGGTTTCACTGTCCCTCAACCCAGCATGGTCCATCCATTCACTTATGACCTTAAACTTTCTATGGTCATGTCGATCAGGTTATATTTTCCCAAGAAAGAAAGGACTAAAGACTAATCACTGCATGTGCATTTGTGTGCGTAGGTTGGGGGGCCATATTGGGAAGTTCCGGTGGGTCGAAAGGATTCGCGGACCGCCAGTTTTGTTGGTGCGAGCACAGACATTCCTACTGCTAACCAAGGCCTGCTTACTCTTGTCTCCAAATTTCTTGTAAAAGGCCTTTCAGTTACAGACATGGTAGCTCTAGTAGGTAAGAGCTACATCACCTTAACTGAGATCATCATGGTAATTTGAATGGAAGAGCTTGTCTTTTTATATTTACGGCTTTGACCCTCTAGACCAATGAGACTCTTTCAAATAGTCACCAAAGGCCTCTGACTATCAAAACATACTAGTCCACACACATTCAAATCAGCCAGTTGACCACAACGTATCCCTAATAAGAGAAAAACCCTTAAAAGAAAAACTAAGATTCAAATCAAATGGGGAAATTTCCTTCAAAGGGACCACTTTATTTCATCCTTCATTCTTATTATTATTCTTTTGAGTAGTTAAGCTAAGTCTAACCACAGTGGTGAGGCCTCTATTCACTAAAGCTAAAATGTTTGCTTAGGGTCCCACACGATCGGAGTGGCTCGTTGCACCAACTTTAGAGAGAGAATTTATGGTGACTTCAAGCTAACTTCCGGCATGAATGGGCTGCTTGGTGCAGCATACCTCAATAATCTACAATCTATTTGCCCGGAAAATGGTGCAAATGGTGATAAAACCTCTGCCTTAGACTATACCACCCCGACCCTCTTTGACAATTCTTTCTTTCAAATTCTTGCGAGGGGAGAAGGTCTGTTAAACTCTGATCAAGAGATGTATTCGAGCCTTTTTGGGATAGAGACTAAAAAGATCATTCAAAGATATGCCGAGGATCCCAATGCATTCTTCAAGCAATTTTCTGACTCGATGGTGAAGATGGGCAACATCACAAATCCAGAGAGCCAGATATCAGGTGAAGTTCGAGAAAATTGTCGCTTCATAAATGCATGATTTGGCATATATTGCCAATAATGTGATGAGCACTAGTGCAATACACAAGCCTCATTATTATTATTATTATTATTACTGTTGTTGTTATTGTTATGAATGTTATCAAGGAAATAAGGGAAAATTCCCATGGCTTTTTTATTTTTGGATTGTTTCGAAGGAGTATAACAATAGGACTTTATGGAAATGAATATATGGAAGTACATCTAATCCAACAGATGAGAAGGTAAATTTTATGTTAGTATGGTACACTGAACTGTACCTGATCCTTCTTCAGAAATGATACTTTATTCTTATGGAGAGGTGCCATCATCTTCATCTATAAAGATTTGGAAAAGGGGTTCTACCCCGTATATTCAGAATGGTTCACTAATAACTTGATTTTTGTTTGAAAACAGTATAACCAGGCCAGTAAATCAGACCAATTTGTGGGCACACTGCTCAGAAATTTACAGAAATTGAAAACTAAAAACAATACATAAGAAATAGTTCAGAAATTAGAGATGGATAAATAAACAAAGGGAAGAGTTAACATTCGTATTTTTTTAAACATGGGTTGGAATGTATGCCATACTTCATAACCAAATAACATACAGAATCACTTAAATATACAGACAAATATGGCCATAATATTCAGAACTGGAAACTAAGGGGAGAGGATGGGGGATAAAACCGAGTCTCAAAAATACAAGCTTATCTTATACAGATGACAAGAATAGAAATAAATCATAGGCACCTATATTATACTCAGACATACCATAAAATACAAGATACGATACCTAGCTTTCCCATACAAACTGATTACATTATACACTAACCCGGTAGATTACATGCACTTTTTTTAACACTCCCCCTCAAACTCGAGAAGCTTTGAGATAGAGCAACTGGAGTTTGAACAACAATTTTCGGAATCTAGCAGTTGGATCTTCATGTGCATAGTTTCAGATTGCTTGATCAACAACCACAATTGGACCTTAGATTCAGAGCTTAGAACAATAAGATACAAGATGAATCAGCAAGCAGATTAGGACAAACTCGAGCAAAAACTGATCAGCAAGCCGCATAAACAAAAGGCAATAATAGAGCAGCTCGAGCAATGACAAATCAGCAGACTTCAGTAATGGACAAAAACTTCAAATCTTCGCCAGAGATAGAGAAAGAATCGGGACAACTGAAAAAACAAAGTGGCAACTGAAAGAGCCAACACAACTCGTTTTTTATAGTGCAAATTCGAGACTGGTTCATCAGCTCGCAGACAAGAAAATACAGGATCGAGCAATAGCAGAGCATCAGACTCTGATATCATACTTTAGTTGGACAGGAAACAAAGAGAAGTACCCTAGTGAACAATGGGAACAAGGATTCTTTATTTTTTTAACAGCCGCACAAACCAAAGAGCAATAGGAGCCACTTGAACTATTAACCGAATCCCCAATGTCTGCTTTACATTACAATACAAAGCATGCTCATATTATTCAAATCCAAGGAAAACACGCAACACAGCCCAGTATGTGGATGACCCATATGCACCAAAAGCAAAGATAATTGTGCACAAAAAATATTCTCTCTCTACCTAAATGTGGCTACCATGTCCATACAGCATGACCATCTTACTATCTTCTACAACTCAAAAGAAGTACATGCTCATAACCACTAGGCATTAGAAGAAAGACACAGCACTACAAGACAAAAGACAAATATAAGAGATGACAAATAGTTGAAAACTGAAGTCTTCATTTAGAGAGAAAACCTAGTGTAGATAGTCGAAAGAACAAGTATGCTTGAAAAAGCCAACAAATCCTAATCGTCCAAAAGAACAAGTGACCAAAGAACCACTCGCTGACAGTAATGGGCAGGATCAGGCAACAACAGACTTGGACAGACAGGAGCAAACTGGGATAGGACGAAAATGATCTACGGCTCTGATGCCATGTTAGAGTCTCAAGTTTCTCAGAAGAGACTCTAAGTATCCATTGATTAATATGACTAAACAGGCTTGTTTTATATAGACAAATGTAGATGACAATAATAAGAATAAATCATAGGCACCTATACTATACCTAGATTTACCATAAAATAAAAGATATTATACCTACCCTTCCCATACACACTGCTTACAATATACACCTTCTATATTAACCCAGTATACACTTTCTTTAGGAAAATTGTTTCATGCGGGCCGGACCTCATTTCTACATATGCGGTCTAGAAAGTGTAAAGCATCCATCTTGAAGATGGATGCAAGTAGGTGTTCCATCTAAAAACAATGGAAACTAACGGTCCAAATGTTTTCCTACTAGAATTATTATTTCTAGTTTTTAAAATTTATTTATTTATTTCATATTCATGATCTCCATGTTAGAGATTACATGTCCTTAAAAATTAAGTCTTAAAATCCATCTCAAAAATAGATTTATTAAGAGGCCCACATTTCTACATATGCGGGCTTGGCTGCATAGAAACCGGTCCCTTTCTTTAACAAAGTGTATTTGAGATGGTTAAAGAATTATTCATCTCTCTCTTTCTCTCTCTCTCTCTCAATGTGGCACACACATATAGACACCACTTCTATCTAGGCAAATAACATAAAGAAGGTAAGCATACAAGTGCCTTCTTCCGTTTCAGATAACTAGACAAGGTCATGTAATCTTGTATCCATTGGAGAGCATTTTTTTTTTTTCCCAATTTGAGAGCAAACTGAACATGAATCCTCTGAAAATATCAAATTGGCAGCTCTAATTGTTTCATATATATACAGAGAATTATAAGATCAACACGGACCAGCAAAACACAATGCAAAACCAACTTGGAAGCACAATGACCTTCAAAAAACAATGCAATGGAAGCAAGAGGATCAAAACTATATGATTCAGCAGGGCCTCACCTTTGCTGAAATGGAAGTAAACGTGTTAAGGGTTCTTACCTTTTGAATGAGCATTCCATTGCCAGTTTCAGATTGTGCTTCTTTCAGAGAATAGGGCCGTGTTTGATAACCATGAAAAGGCGAGAAAATTCATAATTTTCTCACCTTTTCAGTGCTGGGGAAGCTTTCACCCATTTGTTTGGATGAAAGTCGGCCAAACAAATTTTCATGTATTTCTTTGTCGTTCCCTACTACATGCAACGTCGAAGACCACCAAGATAGTTGTATGCGACTTTCTCCCATAGTGAAAATCATCCCACCCTCAATAAATGAGCATTTAATGCTCAACTTTTTAAAAAGTGTAGAAAATTAAGTTATTTTTTAGTTTAAAGCTTAAAATCATACCCTTTTTGGAGAGGCTTTGCTTATTTTTTCTCTCTCCTCAAAGAGTACTCTATCTCTCCTACACCTCATCTATTTCTTTATAGGACTCTCTCACTTCCAAGGGCCTACCTTTCTCTCTCCTTTTCCCTCTCTCCCTCTAGATTATCTCTCTACTAGAACCTATTATGATCAATTTAGAACATATTGTATTAGTTTTTCATATGTCTTAAAAAAGTGACTGTACCGATTTTTCAGATAAATTCTCAAGGAAATTGATTGTTCCAATTTTTCAGCTAAACTATCAAAATGGAAAAAGTGATTGCACCAACTTTTGTGATGTTTCCAAAATCCCAAGTAATCCCTGAGAATACTTCGAATTTTGAAAACATTAGAAAAATTGGTACAATCGCTTTCCCCAGTTTAATAATTTAGTTGGAAAATTCGAGCAGTCAATTTCTTTTGTTTAAGAAACAATCTTGAAAATCAATGCAATCACTTTTATAGAGAGCATCCGGATAACTAGTACAATATGTTGTAAATTGATCATAATAAGTCTCTAATAGGTCTTTAGTAGAGAGAGAATCCAAAAGGAGAGAGGGGAAGGATCCTAAGGAGTCAAGGGAGAGAGGGGAAGGATCCTAAAGCATAAAGGGAGAGACAAAGGTAGGCCCTTGAAAGAGAGAGTCCTAGAAAAAAAGAAGTAAGGTTAAGCAGAAATTGAGTATAGTCTTGGAGGAGAGAGAAAGAAAAATCTTAGTGGCTCAACCATAGTTAGCAAGTCGGGGATTTTCAATAAATCGGCTTACCTTAAAGTCAGGAAAAATCATTTTTATTTTAAAAAGTCAGATGAAAAAATCAGACAAAAAATACGGATCGGCAAAAATACTTCATGGAAAGATATCGCCAATATATCGGACTAGGCTAAAAAAATCGGAGTAAAAAAATTGGATAAGTTAACAAAGATCACAACTACTTCATACCAAAAAAAAAAATACACGATATAAATTTTCACATTAAATAATTTAACGAAGATCACAACTACTTAAAAAAAACAAAAAAAGTGCACCATATAAATTTTCACATTAAATACTTCAACAAATATCAAATCCACTTAAATATCAACATAGCCAAAAAAAGGCACAATTTTTTTTTTACAAATATCAAATCTATTTAAATATCAACATAGCCAACATACACCATATAAATCTTCACATTCAATACTTCAACAAATATCAAATCTACGTAAATATCACCTACCCAAAAAAAAAAAGGCACAATTAAATATCAACAAATATCAAATCTACTTAAATATCAACATACCCAAAATCTACTTAAATACTTTAGCAAATATCAATATACCCAAAAAAATGCACATTTTTTTTTTTATCATTAAATGCTTTAACTATGGTTAAGTCACTTATAACTATGGTTAATATAAAGGTTACTTTATACTTTATATAGTTGTTCTCATTGAAAACTGCTTCTTCAAAACCATTGGTGAGCTTGAAGATTTTTGGGAAAAAGATGGAGCAAGGCTTTGGAAGACCTGAGAACAAGAAGAAGCGTGATAGAACTCTCTTCTCCCCTGATCTCACTGATAAGGAAGCTCGATAGAACAGCAAGGTCTTTGGAAGACCTGTGTTTCATTGAAACAGGATATGCTTCTTCAAAATTGGGGATGGGGGTTTTGCTTTGTGAGTTTGAAAAAAGCTCAAAATTGGGGATGGGGAGAGAGAAAATCAAATGGGGTTCTTGGGGATGCGGGTTTCAGGAGCATGAAGATCATGAAATTTGCAAGAAAATGAATATTAGGTTTGTTGATGGACATAATACGTTTTTTCAGGAACATGAAGATTATGAAATTTGCAGGAACAGGGGTTTTCTCTGTTAGGATTTTTTTTTTATGGAAATAATATGTTTTTTTAGAAATTACACATCAGGATTTTTTTTTTCTTTTTTTAAAAAAATACAAGTAAAAATGATTTTTTTTGGGCCCGTCTAATTCGTTCTCCAAAAAAAGCATTTTTAACGTTTTAATGAAAAAAACGCGATTTTTAGACGAACTTTTCAAAAAAACGTTGTTTTAAACGTTTTTCAAAAAAAACGCCGAATTTTTCAAAAAATCAGCGATTAATCGCCGGACTATGGGCTCAACCTAACTGAGGGTGATTGAAGTCTCATTGCTAATAAATAACTCATGCATATAAAAGGGGCTCCAAACTAAAAAAATAACTCAACTTTTACACTTTTAAAAAAATTGAGCATTAAATGCTCATTTAATGAAGAATGCTCACCCTAAAGTCTCCCTAAAATTGGCAGAACCAAGGGCAAGCGAAGTCCCATTACTAATAAATATCTCATGCAAATAAAAGGGGCAGGTTTATAAGCTTTAAATTAAAAAAATAACTTTTTAAGCTTTTTAAAAAGTGGGGTATTAAATGCTCAGAGGATAGGATGATTTTGCACATCATTCACCATGGGAAAAGGTCGTAGACCACCTATCTTGATGGTCTCCGGCTTTTTCTATGACAAAAAATTATGGAAAAATACATGTAATTAGCAATTTTCATCAGAATAAATGGGTGAAAGTTGCCCAAGTACCGAAAGGTGGGAAATTCACGAATTCTCGCCTCTTCACGGTTATCAAACACACCCTTGGTGAAGTAGTAAAAAAGTTATCAAACAGGGATTCCACGGTTATCAAACACACCTTGGTGAAGTAGTAAAAAAGTTATCAAAACAGGGCCTTATTCAACTATGAATTCACGTTCCAATTGTCACCATCACCTTTCATCGAATCACCCTCTGCAAGATATCCAAGAAAACAAAAACTAGAAAAACCTAATTGTAGATCTCATTCAGACTCTTCATAGAACAATCACAAACCATATTTTTCACTTTATCAAGGAAACATAGAATTATTGAACTATACAATTGGACCTTCCCACTTCGACCATCACCCATCATCAAACCATACAATGCAAAAAAACCTCAGGAAAGTAAAAACCAAAAAAATTGTAAGTATTATTCAGATTCTTGATAGATTAATTCAGAACATATTTTTTTTTCATTTTATCAATGAGTCATATTTCAATTAGATTGTAAAACTTCGATCCAAATTTCAAACAACTATATCCATACTGCAATATACCTGAAGAATATTCAAGTACTCCCTAGCCGAGCTGAGAACCACGTAAACCTTGGGCTAATTAAAAGACAATTCACATTATATAAAATTGTGGAATCAGTTTACAAAAATTATACAGGTAATTTTGATCTCGAACTCAACCAAGTTATTCAGCTCCAGCTAGGGCCAAGTCCAAGGCTCGAGCCAAGTTTGAAAACATTGAACCCATGAAAAAAAAATAGAAAAAAAAAAATACCCAGCTTACAATTAGAAAGTGTGATTCAGACTATTCATGGCGTAATCAGAAGCCATATTTTTCACTTTATTAAGGAATCATACAGATTGAATTTTATGATTGGACACTCTTGAATTCACCATGACCCATCATCACTGTTACGAGACTTTGCCGAGTCCACTCAAACTCAGCCCAGTTACTTGGCATATGGGTCCAAGTTGCCCAAGTTGTATGTACATCTTGGGGTACATAAAAAAAAATCTCAAAATTTTTCAAAAACTGGTAAAAAATATACGACTGTTTTGCAAAAAAAATTATACGATTTGCATGTTTTTGGCAAAGATTGATGTCTTTTGACATAATCCATATTTTTATTTTTTTTAGAATTGTTTTAAATGTCCCTTACAATAAATTAAATTTTTCTAAATCCTTTTCTCAATTCTTTTTAAGCTTATTTGAATTTTTTTAAAATTTTCTAGGGTTTTTGGCCATGTATAGGACTGGGGCGGACATGTCCGAGTGACGCACGTTGGGGGAGGACCGAGTACCTGGCCCGAGTTCCCAAACACTTCCCATCATCAAATCAGCCCTGCAAAATCCCCTGTAAAAACCCAAAAAAAAAAAAAAAAGCCCAAGTTTTACTCTCAATAATAATTTCTCACATTATCAAGCATTCGTACAAGTACTCATGTAAAGTTGGACATTCCCATTTTCACCATTATCCATCATCAAATCACCCCCTGCAAAATTACCCAGAAGATAAAGAAAAATAAAAATGCCTAACTTTATGTCTGATTCATGCTTTTCACAGAATAATCACACACAATATTTTCACTTTCCAAAGGAATCATACAATTACTGAATTATGCAATTAGACATCCCCACTTTCATCATCAACTGCTATCAACTCACACTCTTGGAAAACCCTCCAAAAAAAAAAAATGAAAGCTAAACAAATAAGAATACTCAAATGTTATTCATATCATACACTTTATAGAATAATCATAAACCATATTCATCACATAATAGAATTCATACATGGACAGGATTATACGATTACTGAATTGGGAGACAATGAATTCATTCCTCACCTTTGGATGAGCATTTCTGCACTCGGAGCTTTGATTGTTAGGATTAATTGACCGCAAATTGAAAGGACGCCTTTCCTAAATTACTTTAAATTTCTCAGGAATCCTCTTCAAAGAGGAGCTCAGAAACTGCAAATCTCTGATCAAATTTGAGTACGGACCATTTAAGGACCAGGTTGAAGGACCACACCATGGTTCTGGAATTTGGACATTAGAGCCGCAGAAAGAGACAGGATCTTGATTTTCTTCAGCATGAACAATAGGATTACCAAGGGAAAATACAACTGGTTAAGTATCCATTGGGGTAATGGGGTTTCACGGCCTCTCAGTGGAGATTGTCAAAATTTAGAGAGAGAAACATGGACGAATTAGGGTTCGATCGTCTCTCAATAGAGGTTGTCGAAATTTAGAGAGAGAATGCAGAAAAGGCAGAATTGGTATGATGGATGAGAGAGATGAAAGATAACCAGTTGGAAACGAATCGGGGAAAATGTTGGATAATCTGCAAGTCCAGGTTCATATTTAGAGAGAGAAACATGGGACAAGAATTGCTCAAACGAGAGGAGAAACTTTCCGCTAGGCGTATTTTCGCGGAGAAAGCTTGGGGGGGCCTGCATGGCAGTTATGCCCGGCCCGGTCCAGCGCATCCCTGACAGGGCCAATATTTTTTTTTATCCTTTTTTTTTTTTTTTTTTTTTTTTTGGGTTGATCATTCAGGAAATACAGTCCCCATTTTAGAAATAGTTAGCGGTAGTTAGTGGTATCATTTTAGAAATAGTTAGTGGTTTTTGAATGTGTGAAAACCTAGATTAAAAGGTGAGTCGCACGTGGGGCTACCATTATGACCTCAACCCCATTTCTACTTTCATTTTGAGTGATTTACGTACAGATCCTAATTTTTTTTTAAAAATACAAAATACTTTATTTATAAGTGGGATTTACAAAGAAGATTGATCAACCCACTTTTTTGTTATTTTTTTTAAAATTGCCCCTCAATTTGTGGACATCCTCCATCCGAATTTTAATTAGTTTTTTTCGTTAGTAGGGCACTGCCCTACTGACAAAAAAACTAAAAGAAAAAAAGTTAAAATTCTGACTGAGGACTATATCTTCAGATTGAAAGGTAATTTTAAAAAAAAAAAAAGCAATTGACCGACTTTTTTTGTAATTCGACCTATAAACAAAGCACTTCGTATTTTAGAAAAAAAATAGGATCTGTATATAAATTACTCTTTTGTTTTTATCTAGGTTATGTCTTTCCTATTTTTCCTCTTTAAGATTGAATACCGATACCATAGCTCTAAAATGGAAACTAACCAGACTTGTCATATGGTAAAGATTCTTTACAAAGTAAAACTTTGATAAATTTACATTCATGCTCTTCTAAATAATCGTCATTGTAAAATCCCTTCAAAGTTTTGCGTTTTATGCTACCCCAGACCTTCAAGGAGCTCCGGAGTGATAACTTTAGTTTAAAGTATGGAAGAACTTTGGTATCGTGACTTCGAACTTTCAAAATCCAAAATCTCATCACTTTCGATCTTAAAAGTCTAAAATGCCATTTGGAGTTCAGTTTGGATTTTCAAAGTCTAAACTAGAAGTCCGAAGTGAATATACTCAAACTCTGAAGCGACTAGACTTTGGATTTTGAATATCTAAAATGCTTTCTAGAATTCTAGAGAGCACTTCAAACATTCACAAGGGTTGTTACTTCGGGCCTATGAAGTCATAATATAGGTCCATAGCAGCGCTATTTCAATAAAAAATCAATAAGATGGGTTATGAATGAAAAACAAAAAAAATTGAAAAGACTTTCACAATAACAGTCTTTAGGGGGGCATGAGCGTCTACTTCTCTAAATATTTTCATTTATCTTATCATTTACAAATAGAAAAATAAAAGAAAAAAGACCAAACACATGTGCTCCCACCGAGCAAATTGTATGTTTACACCTGTCATGGAGTACTTTGTGAACGCCACATTTTTGGGAATGTAATCCATCCGAGTGACCACCTTAAAATTGCCTCATATAAACCATGTCCTAAAACGAACGTAGATTGTCCTTTACTGTATCATTTGAGTCAGTTAAGTGTTGAGGAGAAATTACATTTGAGTACCTTGAGGCATCACACATCATTCTTAAAGATGGATGCAGGGTTGTGCTCCCTCCAAAAAAATATAAAAATATCATTTTCAGTTTTTAGAATTTATTTATTTACGTATTAATAGTCTTTATATTAGATCTATCTTATTGATTTCTACCACAACATATAAACCCTTATAATGGCGTAAAAATCTATTTCCACCACAAATTATGAAATTTAAACCTCTAAAAATAGTGTAAATTGAGTGAATCTATAAATACTAAAATTTTTTGAAAATGGACAATTCAAATAATGTGTTACAAGGCACATTATTTTTAAGACTGAAATCGTCTTTTTTTCACATCCATATATTTTGAGGTTGAGATGATCAAGTGGAACATTTCCAGCATTAGAACAAAGTTTTTTTACAATATAAGGTTAGCGTCTTATGTGAGCTTTTTTCTTATTTGAACATGAGATTTAGTTTTGGTATATGAAGGTTACAATCATCCTTGGCCGATGGATTTAAGATAGGGTGGCTTAGGTTGTGCTAATCGCCGGGCTCAAGATCCAAACAAAACTTTGTCGCACAACCCTATTTATCAGATTTCAGATTCTATGGCTAGAGTTAATTGTGATATATTATAACAAAGTTAACATGGTATACAGCCACAGTGACAGGAATTATGAAGCACACCTCATTTCAAAACAATCAATATCCATTGTTATGTCTAAACGTTCCGAAGAACCAGTAGTATCCTGTTTGAAACTAAACAGTCCCTATTGCATAAGGACCTAATT